GGAGGGTTTCTTTACGGACTGGACGCCTGTGACCAGCGGTGTGCCACATGGATCAGTCCTGACAAAGGGTTTTGGCCTGAAACGTTGACTTTCCTGCTCCTCGCATGCCTTCTGACCAGCTGTGCTTTTCCAGCTCCACATTTATTGACTTTAGCTTCCAGCATCTGCAGTCCTTACTGTCCACAAGCATCACTGCAGGATCTACTGCTTTTTTCATCATTTATATAAATGATTTGGATGTGAACGTGGGAGGTATGGTTAGTTAGTTTGCAGATTACAACAAAATTGGAGGTGTGGCGGACAGCGAAGAAGGTTACCTCGGAGTACAACAGGATGTTGATCAAATGAGCCAGTTGGCCGAGGAGAGGCAGATGGAGTTTAATTTAGATAAATGGGAGGTGTTGCATTTTGGAAAGGCAAATCAGGGCAGGACTTGTACACTTTTAATGGTCAGGTCCTGGGGAGTGTTGCTGAACAAAGAGACCTTGGAGTGCAGGTTCGTGAAAGTGGAGTCCGAGGTGGAAAGGATAGTGAAGATGGCGTTTTGGTATGCTTGCCTTTATTGGTCAGTGCATTGAGTACAAGAGTTGGGAGGTCATGTTGTGCGTGTACAGGACATTGGTTAGGCCACTTTTGGAATACTGAGTGCAATTCTGGTCTTCCTGTTCTAGTAAGGACACTGTGAAACTTGAAAAGGTTCAGAAAAGACTTACAACGATATTGTCAGGTTTGGAGGTTTTGAGGTGTAGGGAGAGGCTGAATAGACTGGGGCTATTTTCTCTGTAGTGTCGGAGGCTGATGGTGACCTTATCGAGGTTTATAAAATCATGAGGGACAATGGATAGGGTAAATAGGCAAGGTTTTTTACCCTGGTTGGGGGAGTCCAAAACTAGAGGGCGTAGGTGTGAGAGGGGGAAAGATTTAAAAGGACCAAAGGGGCAACTTTTTCACACAGAGGGTGGTTTTGTGGATGGAATGAGCTGCCAAAGGATGTGGCAGAGGCTGGTAAAATGACAACATTTAAAAGGCATCTGTCTTGAGTATATGAATAGGAAGGGTTTGAAGAGATATGGGCCAAATGCTGGCAAATGGGACTAGATTTATTTCGAATATCTGGTCAGCATGGATGAGTTGGACCGAAGGGTCTGTTTCCATGCTGTATATCTCTATGACTCTGACTCGTCCATGCCATACAGTCAGACTGGAGGGTCAGTTTCTCTGGCTGTACATGCCTCTGAGGTACATCCACATACTGAACAAAAACAATTTTCTTGTACACACTTAACAAATCCCTTTCCATCGAAGCCGTTAATACACTGGCATTCCCAGTCCGTGTTTTGAAAATTAAAATCTCCTGCCATTACAACCTTATCTGTAGGGACGGTTTCACCTTCCAGAACTGCTACAGTCTGTTTGCTGAAGGTGCTCTTTCTAATTGTGCTGAGGCCTTTCATCAGAGGGTGGTATCTCAGTGAGTCTTGGCTTCACCCTCTCCAAGGCCCTGACATCATTGCTGTGTAAAATGTGCAGTACTCTGAGCACAGCCTAACTCAATACTGACAAGTTCATTTTACAAAAAAAACATAGACTGATGGGTTTAAACAGCATTTAAAATTTGACCTGCAAACTGAAAGATTTATAGAGTCATACAGCACGGAAGCAGACCCTTCGGACCAACCAGTCCACGCTAGCAATAATCCCAAACTTAAACTTGTCCCACCTGCCTGCGCTTGGCCCATATCCCTCCAAACATTTCTCATTCATGTAACTTATCTCAATGTCTTTTAAACATAGTAACTGTACCCACATCTACCACTTTCTTCGGAAGTTCATTCCTCACATGCACCACTCTGTGTAAAAATGGAAAATTGTGTATTTGAACCTCTTGTCACGTGGCCGGGAGGCATCGAGGGGAAATGTTCTGACACGATGTGAATTAATGTAAAGACAAGTTCAGTCTGAGTTAGAAACTCAAACAAGCTGTTACTTGCAGGCAGGTTGCCATGGCAACACTGATAAGACATTCCATTGCACAGTCACCTCATTGGAAATTCGAAACTGATCATTAACCACAATATAAACTTCAGTCAGAATGAGTGAGAGTATGGATTAGATTCTGACGTGTGATGTTTCGCTCTATGATTGTGAAACTGTCAGAAATAACAGAACTAACAGCAGACAGGAGAGTATCACCTCAATGGGAAAATAACTGAAGGAGAGTAACTGCTGGAATTTCTCTAAGCAGGGAGCATGTCCTTGTAAATCACAGGTTAGAGAAATTCCAGCAGCCTTTTCCTTCCTTCCTGCCAGCCCCCAGCAGAGAAGGCAAAGAAGAGTCAGGGGCCAGAGCTGGATCACTACAGTGTAGAAAAGTGAGGGAATACTGATGTAAAGGGGCAGTCGGGACTTGAGACACCAGAGATCAAGCTCAGGGCACCCAAGGATCCACTCAGCAGCTGACCTTGTATAAGTGACTGTGGATACACAGGACTTGCATGTTTGCTGTGATTGATGCATCAGTACAAGATACAGTAGAGAACAGAGAATCTGTTCAGTTCCTATTGCTGAATAAGGTGTTAGAGTAACTGATCCTGGAGTCTCAAAATTGGTAAGTAATAGGATGAAATAGTAAGAACTGCCAGTGCTGGAGTCAGAGATAACGCAGTGTGGAGCTGGAGGAACACAGCAGGCCAGGCAGCATCAGAGGAGCAGGCAAGTTGACGTTTCGGGTCAGGACCCTTTGGTCAGCTTGAATCTTGCATTCCTTACTATTCTGTTTCTCTGCACCTTCTAAACCTGTACTGTGTTTTGTACATAGAACGTTGTCAATTTATAAAATCCCACAAGCTCACATTTCTGCATTCAATTGAATCTGATGTCGTTCCAGTTGTTTACCACACAGACTGAGGCCATTCGTCCTGTCATGTCTGTGTTGGCTGCTTGCAAGTACAATTCACCTGGTACCAATCTCCCTGACACTTTGTTAAACACTTCCTCTGTAGATCATGATCCAATTCTCTTTCAGAAGCCACAATCAGGTCTACCTCTATGACATGTACAAGCAATGTGCTCCAGACCTGAGCCACTTGCTGTGTGAAAATTGACATTTCGTTCTGTCACTGTTGTTTCTTTTACCAACCAGTAAACCATGATCCTTTCTACCAATGGGAATAGTTTAGCCTGATCTGCTCTGTCTAGCTGCTGCATGGTTGTTGAACACCTTGATCAAATCTCCTGCCAACGCTTGCTGGAGTGTGGCCCTAACCTCTAGCTACAAAACAGAAGTTCCCCTTCCCTTTGAGATAGCAGGAACTGCCGATGCTGGAGCCAGAGATAACACCGTGTGGAGCTGGAGGAACACAGAAGGCCAGGCAGCATCAGAGGAGCAGGGAAGCTGACATTTCGGGTCGGGACCCTTCTTCAGAAATCTCCCCTTTTCATCATTCTCATGAATCGTGCCTGCAGTGCCTTTAACATTGGAATTTGTACTGAAAACAAAAACTGTTGGAGAGCACCGAGGGCCAGGCAGCATCCAGGGAGAGAGAGCAATCTAACGTTTCGAGTCTTGAAGACTTCTTCAGAGCTGATGTGGAGGGGGCAGCATTTATGCAATAGTTGGGGTGGGGACACAAAGGTGGATGGTTGGAGTGCTGGGGGAGAAAGGATGTTCCCAAGTACTCAATCTGAACTATCAAGATGAAGAGTTATCTAGACGTGAAACGTTAGTTTGCTACGTATGAATGCTGCCTGACCCACTGTGACCTCCAGCAGTTTTTGTTTTCCGTGCCTCTTTCATAAAGGGTAGTGCCCAGATGTGGATACTCTAGCTGTGGTTAAACCAGTCTTGTTTAACAAGTTTTGCATCACACTGCTGCACCTGAACTCTGTACCTCAACTTCTAAAGCCCAGATGCTACCTGCTTTATTAGCCAGTTGTTCGTTCTCTCTCTCAGCCTATTATTCTGTGATGTGCAGACGTTTTGTTACCATTCTAGGCAACATCATCGTTGCGACCTCTAATCGAAGCATTGATATTCTGCTCCCTTCCAAATTTATACGATCTTCTGGTGTGGTGGGTCTTGTTTCTTCCAGTTCTGTTGTTTTAACAGCGATCTGTATACGGGGTCTGTTCCTATGTGTTTATTAATGGAGTCCCGTGTTGAGAAACGGGCTTGCAGAAGTGATTTTAAAAAAAATCAGAACTGGAAGTGACAAGACCCACCACACCAGAAAATCATGTCTGAATGGAGCAGAACACCAACCCCTCAATTAGAGGTTGCGCTGATGATGTTGCCGAGAATGGTAATGAAACATCTGCACACCACAGGCTCAGCGAGCTAACCAACGTCTGCATCCACGATCCCAGCTACAAAATATCGCTGAGACCTTTATTAACCACTCTCTGAATAAGTCCGGTCTTCTTCAATGATTTATGTATTTCTTTTTAAACTTTCATCTCAGTAAACCATGAAATCAAAATTGCATTCAGAAGGGACAAAACCAGAAATGAAATAGGGAGGTTTGGAGAATCTCCCTTCACAGTCAGTTCAGAACAACAGACTGACATCTGCTCTTCTGCACGGTCAGTCAGGGTATTTTAGATTAAAGTTTTGTCATCAGTTATGACTGAAGTGAATTATTTTGCTATGTCTGGCTATACGAATTTGTCAAAATGGATTTGGTGAGAATTAGACTATATAAGACTGTAAGAAATTGGAACTGCTGTTTTGCCCCTCCTGCCTGCTCTGCCATTCAATGGGATCATGGCTGAGCTGAAAATCCTCTTATCCACTTTTCTGCATTTTCCCCACAAACCTTGCTTCCCCTACTGCTCAGGAATCCACCCAGCACTTCCCCATGATTTCAGCGCAGGGAGGGAGAGTGGGTCAGGGATTTACGGCTTTGGGAGAACAAGGGGGGGAAAGAAAAGAGAAGAAACTGGAATTCTCTGAATTTCTATCCAGTTCTGACAGTGATGAAATTTGTCAACTCCTTTTACAGGCTATTTGGAGTGAAGGATTTCCATCAGAGAAGTATTTGAATCTCATCGGCTTTTGAATGTGGAAGGAGAAAGGTTTGTCTATTTTATCTGAAAGAAAGACTGATGTTTGAAACCTAACTGGAAAGACACAGACACAGACTCACACAGGCACACCATTGAGAGAGTGTGTTCCAGTGAACTGACTAAGGAAAGAGTTTTAACGAGTTACGCAGACTGGGAAGAGAAATCACACTGTTCACAGCAAGAACAAGCTGTATGTGTTTTCATTGTGTACCAGTCTTCAGCCATTCTTCCAACCTGTGGATTCACAAGGACAGCCGTACCATGGAGAAACCGTTGGAACGTGAGGATTGTGGGAAGGGATTCCGATCCCCGTCTGCTCTGAAGGTTCATCGACACAACCATACTGGTGAGAAACCGTTCACCTGCTCAGTGTGTGCAAAGGGATTCACTTCCTCATTCAAACTTCTCTCACATCAGCAAGTTCACTCTGACGAGAGACCTTTCAAATGCACGGACTGCGGGAAGAAGTTTAAAAGTTCAAGGTTACTGGCATCCCACAAAGCCGTTCACACCAGCGAGAGACCATTCAGCTGCTCTCACTGTGGGATTCGGTTCAAGCAGTCATCTCACCTGTACAGACATCGGCGGGTTCACACTGGGGAGAGGCCGTTTGCCTGCAGCAAGTGTGGGATGACATTCATTCGATCGTCTCACCTGCTCAAACACCAGCAAGTCCACACAAAGGAGAGACCTTTTACGTTCTCAAGTTGCGAGAAGAGCTTTAAAAGCAGCAACGGTCTTCAGCTCCATCAGCTCATTCACCTCGAGAAGAGACCGTTCAGTTGCTTGGTGTGTGGGAAGGGATTTATTCAGTCGACCCATCTGCTGACACACCAGAGGGTTCACAGTGAAGAGAGACCTTTCAAATGCCAGGACTGTGGGAAGTGCTACAAAAGGTCCGGGGACCTGATGTGCCACCAACGTGTTCACACCGAGGACAAACCGTTCAGGTGTTCTCACTGTGGGACTGGGTTCAAGAGGTCGGGTCACCTGCTGAGACACCAGCGACTTCACACTGGGGAATGACCACTCAGCTGCTCCGAGTGTGGGAGCAGCTTTTCCAGCGCTTCCTCCCCGCAGTCACACCGGAGTGTTCACAATGTTGTGAGACACTTTGAATGTTTTCAGTGTGAGAAGAGCTTTAGAAGCAAACAGACTTTCCTGAGACACCAGCAAGCTCCTGTCGACGGGAAACCCTTTAAATGCCTGGACTGCAGGAAATGTTTTAAAATGTCCGGGGACCTGATATCCCATCAACGTTTTCACACCAAGAAGAAACTATTGAAATGTTCTCACTGTGAGACTGGTTTCGAACTGGCCTAGTGAGACACCAGCGAGTTCACAGTCTGTGGGGAATGGATCAGAGGGCATCGCCACTTTTAATCACATCCAGGAGCGAATGTGTGGGTTAGTTCTGAAGTGTGTATGGAATGTGTCCCAAACACTCTCCCATGGTTCACGCTGGTCACTGATATCCCACCGTGCTGGTCTGCAGCAGGGCAGGAACAAAGATGTGACGCTGCCACAGGGACGTGTGAATTTCACTCAGTGTAATCCCACTGCTCAAGCTTTAACCCCCCAAGCCTAGGGAATGCCTGGACCATTACCTCCATCTCGTGACATACTGCCCTGTTCCCTGCTTGCTGAGTCTGTCCCCATACTGGTACAGGTAGAACAGTGTTTAATCTCTATCTCTGCTGGAACCACACAGGACACACCTGGTAAAAGTAACAGGGAAGATTTGGGCTGGAAATTGGGGTTTGATAAAGTTTCCTTTTCAAATAGTGACACACCAAATGCATGTCCTTTGTCCATTCTCACATCCTGAGGGCCTGCTCGCTTTTCACTGGTTTTGTGCTGTAAAATAATTATTTCCTCTTTAGTCAACCTGTTTGGACGCATCCTAACATGCGGCGTGGTGGCTCAGTGGTTAGCACTGCTGTCTCACAGCGCCAGGGACCTGGGTTCGATTTCACCCTCGGGCAGCTATCTGTGTGGAGTTTGCACATTCTCCCCCCATGTCTGCGTGGATTTCCTCTGGGTGCTCTGGTTTCCTCCCACAGTCCAAAGATGTGGAGCTGAGGTGGACTGGCCATGCTAAATTGCCTGTAGTGTCCAGGAATGTCTAGGTTAGGTGGGTTAGACATGCGGAAATGCAGGCGTAGGGTAATGAGTCAGGGTTGGATGCACTTCGGAGGGGCAGTATGGACCTGTTTCCACACTGTGGGGATTCTCTGCCCTCTGGACAAGCAGGATTTCAATGCTGATCTTCTGGGTTCAAGGTAGGGACAGTTGCTCTGCACCATGAGAGCCTTTTGGCTTGCTAGAAGATTATTAGGTCACTTAAAAGGATGAAAGTTACCATTTCACTTGATGGTTCACTGCTTACACCTAACTTAATTAGAAACTCACTTTTGTATATTGGAGCGGGAAGTGAGGAACTGTAAAGAAAACGTGCTAAGGTCAGGGCAAGCTGGGAGTTTCTCAAGTTTGCAAAAATGTACTGCAGCCAAAAGTTAACAAAAACGTGGAGGGGTTTATGAAGGCTAACACATGGACGTCAGGGAAATAAATGGCAACAAGGTGTAGCAGCCTTGAGACGAGAATAGAATCATGGTGAATGCACAGGCCATCATATGATATAGTGAGGTGAGAATTACTCACATGAGCTGTGACTGGCTGGAGGGAGGGGTTCACCTGATGAGAACCAGGATAAAGATCGTAGAACCCCTACACTGTGGAAACAGGCCCTTTGGCCCAACCAGTCCACACCGAACCTCAGAGCATCCCGCCCAGATCCCATCCTCCTACAACCCTGCCTAATCTACACATCCCTGAACACTATGGGCAATTTAGCATGGCCAATCCACCCTAACCTGCACATTTTTGGATTGTGGGAGGAAACCCATGCAGACACAGCGAGAATGTGCAAACTCCACACAGACAGTCGCCCGAGCGTGGAATCGAACCCAGGACCCTGGTGCTGTGAGGCAACAGTGCTAACCACTGAGCCACCATGCCAGCGCAAAGATAAAAGAGAGCCTCTCAGAAAAGACCATTCTGCGGAGAAGAACCAGAATTCCTTATTTCTCTTTTGTTTTTAAATATCAAAGCACATTCTCATTGTATCACTGAAATCTGGAGCATTTTAATTCTTTTACAGGTCAGTGTCAATGACTGATATTTTGACAGAAATATGAATAGGCAGGGCATAGAGGGATACAGACTGCATAGAGGCAACAGGTTTGTAGTTTCTGGAAGGCATTGTGTCGGCAGAGGTTTGGTGGGCAGAATGGCCTGTTGCTGTTTTGTTTTCTTTGTTTGAGTCCAACTGGTCCTCACTTTTTGTAATACCAATAAACACAGATCTTACAGTATATGTTTCCTTGGAGTTTGTGTTTCTCTGGGACCAGCTCAAAGTGGTCCTAACATTCAGATTTGGACCTTGAACATGGACCATAAGGGCCACATACGTGGAGCACCATTACTGGATGCCTTTCATCCCTGATTTGAAGTATGCCTCCATTCGTGACTATACCTTCAGCTGCCTGGAGCCTAAGTTCTGGGATTTCCTCTTCAAACCTCTCCATCTTTTCTAATTCACTTAGCTCCTTTTTAACAGTCCTTCTAACCCACTTCTTTGTCCAAGATTTTCATGGTCTGATCTAATATGTCCTCCAGTATCTCCTGGGACACTTTTTATTACGTGAAGATCTCTGTGGAAATGTAAATTGTTGTTGTTCAGTCAAACCTGGTCAATGAGGGAGTGAGTCTGTATGAATGTAACTCAGATAGACACAGCTTGTTAGAACGGACCTGGGGAGGAGAAGTTCTGAACTAACCACTGGACTTTCTGTTCCCCAGAATCGTGATAAGCTGATTCTACCCATACATTTGATATTACTAACGAAAGTAATGAAAGGCAATTTCTTGTTTTTGAGACGCGTTATTTGTCCAGATTGGAGTTGCAGGCCTAGAGCGCGTAAGCAGCATTCCCAAAGATCTTTCTTTGTGTATGTCACCTCGCCAGCAATTGTTCTGACTGTGTGTGTCTTTTTTCCCCCATTATTGTTTCCTCAAAGTTGTTTTACTCTTAAATGAACAGTCCCTGTTGCATTAACCATGAAGATCCCTGAGGTACACTCCTGGACAATGAATGGCAGTCACATGGTGGGGGGGGAAATCACTGAGTGAGTGAATGAGTGAAACTGTTTACCGCAGAGGGCCGGCAAGGCCAGAGTATTAAGTGTATTTCAGGCTGAGAGAGACAAACTTTTAATCAGGAAGAGGAATCACAGATTATGGTGGAGAAGGGAGGAAGGAGTTGAGGATGATCCAATCAGCCATGGTCTCACTGAATAGTGGAGCAGACTCCTTGGGCCGAATGCTCAGCTTCGACACCCATGTTTTAATGAGTCGGCCTCCCGAGTCACGTTTCACCCCAGCGAGCTGGTTGCAGGGGAGTTAGCTCCTTGACGCTGGCTATTTGGCTTCAAGGGGCCTGTCATAGAGTTGGGCAAGTGCCTGAAGAGCACAATAGCATAAGGGTTGTTGCTGCCCGGTAATCCGTGACCTCAATGTTATTTATGGGAGTTTGGGGTGGGGAGGGGGCATGGTGAGAGTGTCAGTTCTGTTTGGTGAGTGAGTGAGTCTGTATAAATGTAACTCAGAATGGACCTGGGGCGGAAGAAGCTCTGAACTAACCTTGAGAGTTTCTGTTCTCCACATGAGGGAAAAGCTGATTCCTTCCAACCATTTGACACTATGATCAAAAATAACGAAAGATGATTTGTTGATGTGATTTGCTTCATTTGATAGGATTGAAATTGAAAGCTCACAGCAGGCAATTTACTGTTTTCTGCAATTTTATTTCGTGTGTCATTTATGCTTTGCTTTTTATTCTAGTGTTAAACCTGTATTAATTCTTAACTCATAAACGTTGATTGAAACCAAAGTGATTTGTGCTTTACTTGTTACATTGGTTAAAGAGCACTAAGCAACTCTATTAGTTCAAGCTATGCAGAAACCGAGAGCGATATATGGGAGAAGAAGATAATGTGTCTCAACCCCAATATGTGTGTGCGCGTGCGTGTGCGTGTGTATTTATATATACAGCTTTGCCTGAGCCACAGAATGTGGGAAGAGGAATGTTAGAGGAACTAAAGGAAGCAGTACCATGGAAGCCAGTACAGCAGACCTGGTGGGGGCTTTGATTTAAGTGTAACCAAAGAAAGGGAAAGCCACCCAACTGCGTTTGCTGCAAACCTGTGGCCATTGTTCCACAGCGTCCAAGGCCTAGGACTGGACAGACAGATTTGGGTGACCAAACGTGCAATCAGTGGGACTGAGCAGGCAAAAAGGTGTGCGATATGTTGGCATCCCTCTGATGATACACGCACTGAGGCATGAGTATTGAGGAAAAATGGTTAATAAAAAGAGATGAGGGGAGCTAAGGCCACAGGGAGGATGGATGGTGCCTCAGAGATCAATGAAGGAATGGAACTAGTCCCAAGAGGGCCATCACCGCTCTGTCAAACGTTAGGGCGGAACAAAGTGCTGCACTTGTGCCTGGAGGAATTGGTAGGAACCCTGGAGGCTCCTGGAACTGCTTGAACTGGGGTGGGGAACAGCATTATGGTAGAGATTGCCCAAACCCCCAGAGGGTTCAAATGCAGGACCACCACCCACTCCACACAACAATGTGCAGCCAACTGAGGCAACAAGGGGGTTGTAGCCCAATATCAAACTGCAAAGACGATCCCAGGCCTCTCCAATATGGCTGTGTGTTGCAAAATGCAATGGGACTGCGGTGACCTTTAGTGGATGGTCAGGTAGGAGGCTGCTGTAACATTTTCTTGTGGGACACAGGGGAATGCCAGACCACCCTGAACACCTCCATCGTAAATACTGAAGATTGGAAAGTAGAAATGAAGATAATCTTAAGTGAATTTATGGGACATTCCCAAATAGGACAAGTGATCTGCCCCCTAAATATACAAATAGGGAAGGTAGAAATGATGCATCCTGTGGTATTAGTAATTCTTTCAATGAATCAAGTGCATATCTAGCGAAGTGATTATAGGTCTTAAAAGGACTGTGCTTTGCTCTGGTGAATTGTACAATATGGCAACTGCCAGGGATGAGTAAGCAGCAGATTTTGGATGAAATCCCAGTAGGACAGTGTAAGGAGAGAGTGTGTATGGTGGGAGAAATGTGGATCGATCTTATCAACATGAGAGAGGACCCGACAAAACAAGGAATAATTGGGTAAAACCAGGAGGTGTTTGTCAAACATAAGCATTGACTGTGGACAGATGTAAGGAGAGGTATGTATGCAAGGCCTAGCTGCAAAAGCAGTGTGCATTCCTGGAATCCCCAACCAAGCTGAAGATGAAACAGAAAAGGTGGTGCAAAGCCTGGTAGAACAAAGGGTGTTGAGGTGAGTGGCCTCCATGAATAATTCACCTATCCGTTCAGTAAAGAAACTGGATGAAAGTTGGTGATTACTGATTGATTATCAGGCACTAAACAAGGTAACAGCCTAATGGCAACTACTAGCCCTGAAATTATGATTAAACAGAGTGAACATGCATAATGGTTTACGGCGTTGGAGATTTGTAATGGATTTTGATCAATTCCCTTGACCGTGCAGTGCTGGTATAAATTTGCATTTACCTTCAAGAAATATATATGGACAGCATTCCCTAAGGATTTCTCAACTCCTTATCAATGATTGAGCAGTGGGTTGTGAGATTTCCCTAGGCCAGACTGTCTGATACAGTATGTAGATAATCTGCTTTTGCAAACCAGAATTATAGAGGAGTATCACCAGCTCCTGAATGAGTTGTTGCAACTACAGAAGGAGTTTGAATTGGAGGTGAACCTGAAAAAGGCTCAGATAATGTAGCAGGAAGTGAGTGACCCAGAGGGAGGAAAAATGGAGATCAGCAACAATTTGAAACTGCAGCCAGATTTCCCATCCCCACAGATGTGAAGGGATTAAGGTCATTTTTAGGCCTGATTGGGCATTGTAGAGACCACGTTGATGGTTTTGCCATAAAGTAGGCACCACTAATGATGCCATTGAAGAAAAATGCTCAATGGGAATGGAAGCCAGATCACAGGCAGGCAATAAAAGCTTTGAAACAGGGCTTGTGAATATTCCTGCCCTAAAAACCCCAAACCCAGTCAAACCATTTTCCTGGAAATGGCTGCAACATATTGCACAATTTCAGCTTTGTTGCAAGAGGTACATGGTCAGATGTGGCTCACACTAGTGGAGAAGGGGTAAATGGCGTGCAAAAGGCACTTACTGGCAATGTTCTGGGGCGTACGACATTTCACCTACATTGTAGGCTTGAACCCGTTGATAATTTTGATGGAACACGCACCCATCTAGTTGTGGCTGGATGGATGTATTAAAGATGGCATGGTGAGCAAAAACAGAATTGCTAGGTGGACACTACTATTAGGTGTAAAAAGGGTTAAAAGTACTACCATGTTAGCAGGGGAGACCCCATGAGTGTCAGCTAGTTACAGCAACTGATCCCAAGGGACCATTTGTATCAAATCAAAAAGGAGGGATCAAAGACAAGGAGACTGCAGAGAATATCCAAGGTAGAGGCAGAAGTCGGAGATGTGCTGGTTCAGTGGATTGGCCATGTCAAATTGCCTGTAGTGTCCAGGGATGTGCAGGCTAGGTGGATTAGCCATGGGAAATGCAGGGTCACAGGGATAGGGTTAGGAGTTGGAACGCTCTTCTGTGTGTCAGTATGGACTTGATGAGCCAAATGGCCTGCTTCTATGATTCCAGGTTGAACAGTAGGAGAATGCAAATCACTGCCAAAAGTTTTTGTTGACAGCTCCTCATCTGTACAGAATGGGAGAACGGAAAATGGGTTGCAGCATCTATGTTGGAGGATGAGCTGGAACAGGAAGTGTGGTGGTGAAATAGCTTCACAAAGGCCAATATCCCATCACCAAGTCACCTTTTATTTACACGGGGACAGTCCTTGACACTGATCCAGCTCCCTCAGGGCCAGCTTTCAGAGTGAACAGAACTTCTGACATTCATGCTTATATCTGTCAGCCAAGGCTCCCTGATTGGAGCAGATTAACAGCCCCAATCAGGGAACCTATTTTCCACAAGATCCACCCAGCTAACCTCATTACAATCACAGATACCGCCCCCTCTGAGTCCAAGGTGAGTTCTATTTCTTTTTTGTCACTCTTCCTGTGATATTTTAGGACCGGGTCAGTTTCCTCCAACTCTGCCTCTGATACGGAGCGGCGTGTAATGCATAGTTGCTCGCTTTTGCGCCCGGAGCGTTTTGGGAGAAATTCATTCACTTGTTCGGGTGGCAAAGGCATCGAGGCGACAACATCGGCGTGTCCATCTCAGATTCCAAGATCTTCAATGCCTGATGGAGAGGGAGACCCCAAGGGTTCAGGAACAGTCAGAAAGGCTGGTGAGGAGCCAGGCACGTTTTACTTCTGCACTGTATGCACGTTTGCAGCTTTCTTATGGTCGACATGCTTGTTCAGGCCCATCGCACCTACCCGAACTTTATACGTTACTGGACCTGACCTCGCATTGACCATGCCTATTACTCATACATTCCCTTTCTCCTACACCAAACTTACTCCCCTGAAGTAAACTGTCTCTCTCATTTAGCTAAGTCTTCTGTCCAGCATTGGCATTCCTGATGCAATTTCCCCCCGCCCCAGCTTTGGGAAGATCAGATTTAACCTGGTGCGGAATCATCTCTCCATTCGCAACTCTGCTGGAGCTATCTCTGTTGTTGTAGGAGGGGTGTCCTACACTCGAACAGGAACCAGGATAGTTTTGTATCAAGTGAAGCCAGAGGCTGTTTCGTTAAGCCTGTCTTCAGAATTTGGAATGCTGTTTCTGCCAGACCATTGGATGATGGATGGTACAGAGCTGCCCTTATTTGTTGAATACCATTCAACTTCAGGAAGTACTCAAATTCCCTGCTGATTAATGATGGCCTGGTATCTGTGATCAATACTTCCAGGAGTCTGTGTATTGCAAAAGATGCGCACGGTTTTTCTATTGCCATCCCCCTGCTTGATGAATGAACTCTATGCATGGAAAGCCACATTGATCCCATGAAAGGACCAGCATTGTCGATGTCCAGGGTTTACCCGGTCATTCCCGTGAATGGGGGGACGGGGGGGTGGGGAAGCTGCTAGCAGTAAGTTTTGTCCTTGTTGGCACTCTGGGCACGGCCCCACCAACGTGGCTATGTCTACATCCAAGCCTGGCCACCAGACAACTTGTCACCCCAACATCTTCATTTTGGAAACCCCTGGTAGAGTTCAGTCCGTATCTGGCTCTTGCTCCCCGTAATAATATGCCATCCTCTACTGTGATATGGTCCATCCCGGTCCATGAAAAGTTTCAGTTCAGGTTGTGATGGCCATTTGCCTTCTCCCATCACATCAGCTATTTCGTTTTGCCAGGACCGGATCTTTCTGCAAACAAAGTCTGATGTTGTCAGCTGTGACTGGAAGGGTGTCCAGAAAATTGAAAACCATCATGGACTCTTCTAATGGTGTGGATGGTGGTCTGCCAGTGGGAGGTGGCTCAATGCATCAGCATTTGCCACTTGGCCTCCCGGACAGTGTTCCAACTTGTAATTGTATGCACCTAGAATTAGAGCCCACAGCCTGAAGCTATGGGCAGCACTGCCTTGTCCTTTTTAAGTAGACCTAGCAAGGGTTTGTTGTCCATTATTATCACAAATTTACGTCCATAAAGTTATTGGTGGAATTTCCTGACTCCCAATATCACCGCCAACCTTCCTTCTCTATCTGGGCATATTTATGCTCTGCATTCGCCAAAGTCCTGGGTGCATACGCTGTTGTGCATTCCTCTCCATTGGGCCACCTCTCAACAGATGCTACTCCAGTGCCCTATGGGGGGTGGGGGGCATCGCATGTCAACACTAGATCTCACTTGGGATCATGGTGTGCCAACACCTTAGATGATGATAGCTGTTTCTTCACTTCCCTGAAGGCTATGGCTTGGCTGCACGACCATTTCCAAGGCTGACCATTTTTTAAAGAGTTGATGCAAAGGTGCCAGGTTATGTATAAACTTTCACCAACCCAAGGAAAAACCTAAGCTCCAGTACTGACTTGGGAGCCAGAGCACTTTTGATTGCGCTCACTTTACCTTCCAATGGGTGAAACCCGGTCTTGTTGACTCTGTAGCCCAGGTAATTCACTTGGAATGCCTGGAACACATATTTTTCCCTTCTAAGGTGAATGACCTCCTGGGAGAAACACCTAAGAACTATGTCCAAGTTCTCTAATTGCTCCTTATTAGTCTTCCCTGTTATTAGCATGTCTTCTACATAAATGGCAACCTGGGGTAGACCTTATTATATGTTCTCATTGTCTGCAGAAAGGTTGCATCAGCTGACGATACCCGAAATGGCAGTCTCGTATATTGGTAGAAGCCCTTATGCGTATTAATTGTAACATAGTTCTTGGAATCATTATCTAACTGCAATTGCAAGTATGCATGGATCATGTCCAGCTTCATGATGGGCAGCCCCACCAGAGTTTTATGAATAAATTCTCAGTGCAAGGGATTGGGTATCTATCCAGCTTTGTTTGAAATCCCCGCAAAGGTGCTGTGAGCTGCTGGGTTTCACAATCAGTACAACCAGTGCTGCCCATTCTGCAAACTGGATTGATTAGATGATTTCCTTCGCTTTCCAGCCTCCTGAGTGCTGACTTTTGCCTGTAAGGTGAATGACAAGGGGCAGGCCTTGCAGAATCATGGAGTTCTTCCTGATCAACATGCAAGGTGTCCTGAGCTCCTTTAGTAGTCCTTCAACCTTCCTGAAAAGCTTCTGATTATTTAGTTAGGGCTTCACTCAGGCAGCCATTGACGTTGAGCCAATCTAGGTGAATCTTTCTCAACCAATTTTGTCCCCTCAAGCTTGGGCCCAAGCCTTTTACTACAATCTGTGGTAACTGAACCAGCTTCATCTCATATGAGACTGGAACCGACGTTGTACCCTTAATCTGTAAAGGTCCCCGGTTTTCATTCTATCCAAGGTCTTGCGCAAACTTAAGGGTTAGAGTCCAGTGAGAATTTTTTTAAAGACTGATTCTACGATCACTGAAATGGCTGCGCCAGTATCAAACTCCATTAGAAGCGGGTGACCATTTAACCAGATATTTATTTTGGTTGGTTGTGATTTGGGCATTGCCGAGCAATTTGACTGTTCCAAAGCAGACGTAAGTGGACATTCCAGGGTGTGCACTCTCCTGGATACCAGCCTATGAGTTCTCTTACTTAGTTTAGGCCTGGTGGGACACGTTTGCTGTGGGCTGACCTAAAGTCCCACTGTCCAGGATAATGTCCTGAGAGAGGCTATGCAATTGCTTCACTCAAGTGGAATTCACCATGCTCAGTTGGACTAGTGAGGGTGTCCACTTCCATCGGAATACCCTCCAACTCAAATGCTCCACTTGCTGCAATTTCTAATGACAAAGCCAGTTGCAGTTCCTGTTTGAAGTTCAGTTGGCCTTCAGCTAGCAAGTGCTTTTGCATAGTTCCATCATTAAGCCATCAACCAAATGGTTTCTCAGCATCTCATTAAGGGTTAAACCAAAGTCACTTGCTTCTGCCAGTTGTCTTAACCTCGCCAAAAATCCCGACATGGATTCCCCTGGTTCTCCAATTGCCGAGTAAAACCGACAGCCTCTCAGAATTAGAGGGTCGTAATATTCATTAATTAAATCTGTCAACTTGTGAAAGGTTTTATTATCTGGAGCCTCGGTGAAAGTTAGGCTCCTGATAACCAAAAGGTGGTGGGTCCGCAAGCTGTCAGGCTATTTCCTCGTTGTTTTCCACCCGGCCCCCGATGTCATTTTCCTGGAAAAATTAACTCATTATTTCCCCAGACTGGCCCCAGTCTTCGACGGCAGGACTGAATGAGTCCGGCTTCCCAAATAATGGCATGATACCAGAAGTGCTTACCCCAACTCAAAGACAACTGTTGCGAGCGAATTTCTTCAGGAGCATGTTTTTCCCTTGTCACCACTAAAATAACTCTACAGAGGCTGGTATCCCGTTACCAAGTCACCCTTTATTTACATGTGGAGAATCCCTTGACACTGATCCAGCTCCCTCAGAGCCGGCTCTGAGTGAAGAGAACCTCTGACACTTTCGTTTATATCTGTCAGCCAGGGCTCCCTGATCAGAACAGGTAAGGAGCCCCAATCTGGGAACTCATATTCTATGACATCCACTTGGCTGATCTTGTTACAGTTACCACATATCACATAGCCCTCACACTGCTAAAGACCATGAGTGTTCAAGCAGCTGAGTTGGCAGCAGTGGCATATGTATAGTGAGTCACCCAGACAAATATCACCCAGGATTGACTATCTATTCAGACAGTATGTATGTGTGCAACAGTTTGATGGAATACCTACCCATGCGGGAGGCGAGAGGTCTGTATCAGCTGATGGAAAGGCCCTACCATCTGCCCCCCCACCCCTTGCTGTGATACATTTTTGAAAAGGAAAAAGGGAGGGAAGAGGGTGTGATGAAAGTTAAGGCTCATTTGAAGTTATCACCAGAGGGAAAAAGTCCGAAGTCTCAAAAAGATACAGGAGAATAGGTCTTAGTTTCGACTAAATAGGAAATGTCTGGTTCAGTTTCATTCAGTTGCCAGGGAGAGGGATTCAGTTGGGAGTGAGGGAATAAAAGCAATGGCTTCAGTCTTCCCGATATTTAATTGGAGGAGATTTTACACATCCAGCACTGGATATCAGAGAAATAGTCTGATCATTGAACAACAGGATGAAAGAATCACTGGTGAGGTAGAGGTGGGAGCTAGTTCAATGCACGTGAGAACAGTGTTTTCAGATGATGTTGTTGTGGGGACATGTTCATAAGAAATAAAGGGAGGCCCAGGCTGGATCTTTTGGGGACACCATGGGGGAACTGTAGGAGTGGGAAGGATAGACATTGCCAGTGAGATGCTGATCAAATAGAGAAGAGTGGAACCAGGAGACAGCAACCCCACCCAGCTGGACAACCAGAGGGGTGTTGGAGTAGAATGATGTAGTCATCCTTGTCCACGGTTACAGACATGTCAACAAAGGCAAGAACAGACACCCAGTCACATAGGATGTGGCTTTAATAAGAGTAGTTTCAATTGTACAGTACAGAAACCCTGATTGGAGCGCTATAAACCTGGAGTTCAGGGAAATATATGCACAGACCTGGGACATGGCGAAATGTTCAAGACCTTTAGAGAGGAAAGGGACGTTGGAGTTAGAGCAGTAGTTTGCAGTGACAGTGCGGTTCAAGGTTTGTTTATGGAGAAGGTGACGGCGACAGATTTAGAGGACAGTATGACAACACCTAAAGAGACAGAATTGTCAACAATCTCAGTGAATATGGACGAGTCATGTGATAAACAGTTTATTGAAAATAGGGTTGATGGATCAGGAGGTGGTTCTCACGCCATATGGGGTCTGACAGGGTTTGAGGGCAGATGGGAGAGAAACTGAAGAAAGGCGTCAGTTCAGAGCTCAGGAACTTCAGGGACAGTTTGGCCCAGTGAGCTAGAGGGAAGGAAGCAGTGAAGGCTGCTGATCTGATTATCTCAACCTCAGTGACAAAGGAGAGGGAGAGCCCTTCACAAGGAAGTAACTTGTCATAGAATCACAGAATCCCTACAGTGTGGAAACAGGCGCTTCGGCCCAACAAGTCCACACCGACCCTCAGAGCATCCCACTGTAACCCACCTAATCTACACATCTCTGAACGCTATGGACAATTTAGGATGGCCAATCCACCTAGCATCTTTGGACTGTGGAAGGAAACCGGAGCACCTGGAGGAAACCCACGCAGACACGGGGAGAATGTCCAAACTCCACACAGTCACCCAAAAGGTGGAATCGAACCCGGGTTCCTGGTGCTATGAGGCAGCAGTGCTAATCATTGAGCCACCGCACTTGTGTTGGAGACATTAAAAAAAATCAGCACGCCGTCTGTTTCAAAGAAAGCTGGTTTGATTTATTCAGAATTCTTAACACCTGTATCACTTAACACCAGCAGAATCAGTCCTGGGTGTGTTTTAACAGCAAAATCCAGTCACTATCATCACTTGTGAACTCGCTGGTGCTTCAGCAGGTGGGATGACTGACTGAATCCTTTCCCACACTCAGAGCAGATGAACGGCCGTTCCCCTGTGTGCAGTCGCCGGTGTTTCAAAAGGTCAGATGACTGAGTGAATCCACTCCCACACGCAGAGCAGGTGAATGGCCTCTCCCCGGTGTGAATTCGCTGGTGGACAGTGAGCTGAGACGAGTGCTTGAACCCTGCCCCGCAGTGAGAGCACCTGAACGGTCTCTCGTCAGTGTGAACACGTTGATGTTCTATTAGGTTCCAGGAACTTTTAAAGCATTTCCCGCAGGTCGAACACTTAAAAGGTCGCTCAACAGTGTGAACTCGCTGGTGTGCCATCAAGTTCCCAGAACTTTTAAAGCACTTCCCGCAGTCTGAACATTTAAAAGGTCTTTCGTCAGTGTGAACCCGCTGATGGGACATCAATTCACCGGAGCTTCTGAAGCACTTCCCACAGTCTGTACAATTAAAGGGTCTCTCGTCGCTGTGAACGCGCTGATGAGTCATCAATTCCCCAGAACTTTTAAAGCACTTCCCACATTTCGGACATTTAAAAGGTCTCTCCTCAGAGTGAACCTGCTGGTGTTCCTGCAGGGTTGATAACTGGGTGAATCCTTTCCCACACTCAGAGCAGATAAACGGCCTCTCCCCGGTGTGAATTCGCCGATGCCTTTCCAGTTCAGATGGGCATCTAAACCCCTTCCCACAGTCGCCACATTTCCGCGGTTTCTCCTCACTGTGAGTTTGCTTGTGTCTCGAGAGGCCGGATGATCGGTTGAAACCCCGTCCACACTCGGAACATGTGTACGGTTTCTCTCCACCGTGAACAGCGCTGTCCCCTTCCATGTTATAATTCCGATGAAATTCAGGTTATGATATATGGGACGACTCCTTCAGGTCCTGACGTGATGTCTGGTTTCAATATCCTGACTGCAAATCCCCCCTTTTAGACAGGCTAGCTCATCGAGTGAAAAGAGCAGAAAGTGAGAGAGAGATGCACAAAAACACAGAGGAAGTGGCTGTGAAATGCATTGACTAATTCTGTTAATTTGTGTCATCACAAGGAAAACCTGAGGTGATGGAATTCAGAAAGCAGGATTTTTCTCCCTTTTCTTTCTTTCTGGCTCTACCTCATCAAAAGACCCTGGTTGTGAAAGGCCAGAGAACAGGCTGGATGGACAACTTGTCTCCGTTCAGAACAATGGGCAGCAAGCGCTTCACAGTCATTCCAAACATTGCCCCCAACAAAGATGGCAGCTACGCACACGTCCCGCTGTCCAGTGCCCCCAAGGAAGATGGCAGCACCCTCCCCGCGGCCAGTAAATGGGAGGAAGTCTGGAGCCTTTTTTACCGTTTGGTGCAAAGGAGGGAGGGGGGGGGTTCTTATTCAGGGTTTGAGGCTGACAGAAGGTTTTTTTTTTGCCTACTACTCTCCGCGTACCTGCTGCCTGTCTACCGCCTTTTCGCTGAGCCTCACCTTTTCTGATCCAAGAAACAAGAGACTGGCTACCGTCAGCCTGGAGGAAAATGGTAGCTGCGCATGTGCTCTACCGACCGGCGCCGCGCACCGCTACTGCGCATGCCCACATTCGCGACGACGCGCCGGCTGATTGACGGCCGCTCCTAGCCAATAGGAGGAGGGCGGCCCGGTTGGAGAAGCAAGCTGAGCGGCTGGTCCTCCAACCAATGGGAGTGAATGAAGAGTGGGTCTGAGCCCGGAGCCACCTCCTTGGCTGAGAGTCTGATTCATCTGGTAGTCATTGCGTTGAAGATCCTTGAAACTGGAGATGTACAATCATCTCCTCATCTTCACCCTTCAGTTTCTCCCCAGTCTTTTAAAGCTGGCTTCTGTAGGCAACAACCATCCTGACAATCGCCAATGTGGTATACTGCATGCGCTGTTCCCGGTGTGGCTACCTCTACATCGGGGAAACCAAGCGGAGGCTCGGGGACCGCTTTGCAGAACACCTACGCTCGGTTCGCACTAAACAACTGCGCCTCCCAGTCGCGAACCATTTCAACTCCCCCTCCCATTCCTCAGACGACATGTCCATCCTGGGCCTCCTGCAGTGCCACAACGATGCCACCCGAAGGTTGCAGGAACAGCAACTCATATTCCACTTGGGAACCCTGCAGCCCAATGGTATCAATGTGGATTTCACAAGCTTCAAAATTTCCCCTACCCCTACCGCATCCCAAAAGCAGTCCAGCTCGTCCCTGCCTCCCTAACCTGTTCTTCCTCCCACCTATCCCCTCTTCCCACCTCAAGCTGCACCCCCATCTCCTACCGACTAACCTCATCCTGTCCCCCGACCTGTCCGTCCTCCCTGGACTGACCTATCCCCTCCCTAACTCCCCACCTACACTCACCTTTACTGGCCCCATCCCCGCCTCTTTGACCTGTTTGTTTCCTCTCCACCTATCCTCTCCTCTATCCATCTTCTATCCGCCTCCCACTCTCTCCCTATTTATTTCAGAACCCCCTTCCCCTCCCCCATTTCTGATGAAGGGTCTAGGCCCGAAACGTCAGCCTTTCTGCTCCTATGATGCTGCTTGGCCTGCTGTGTTCATCCAGCCCTGCACCTTGTTGTCTCGGATTCTCCAGCATCTGCAGTTCCGACTATTCTGACAATCCAACTCATTTCTCCCTGGGTGGGGAAATAGTCCTGCAAATACTTGAACCCTGCTTTTTAAAAATCACTGCTTCGCCCTCTCGGCTCTGTTTCTCCAGGCCCACCACTGAACTGAAAGCCCTTGTCCCTGATACCGTTTTGGGAAATTGTCCCTACATCCTCTCCAAGGCCTTGACATCATTCCTAAAGTCTGGGGCACAGAAATCTGCATAATATTTCAGCTAAGGATTAGTCATTGATTTATAAAGATTCACTGTGTCTTCCTTGCTTTTGAACTTAATGCCTCCATTAATAAAGTGGAGGATCCTATGCTTATTTTTTCAAACAACTTGATCAACTTGTCATATCACTTTCAAGGGCTGTGTCCATGCATTTGTGGGTCACTGTTCAAAATTATTCCATTTAGCTTAACTTACCTCTTCACATCCCTCTTTTGAAAATCCATTATTATCTGTGAATCCTCAAGTGTGGCAATAAAGAGCCCTAGCAAAACTGGAATTAATCGGCATCATGGGGCAAGCTGGTTGGAGTCATATCTACCACACAGGAAGATGATTGTGGTTGTTGAAGGTCAGGCATCTTAGATCCAGGATATCCCTGCAGGATTTCCTCAGAGTAAGGTCCTAGGCACAACCATCTTCAGCTACTTCAATGACCTTCCCTCCATCATACAATTGGAGGTGGGGATGTTCGCTGATGTTTACACACTGCTCAGCACCATTCACAACTCCTCAGATACTGAAGCAGTCCATGTTCAAATCCGACAATGTCCAGGCTTTGGCTGACAAGTGGCAAGTATCATTCGTGGCATATAAATGCCAGGCGATGACTGTCACCAATAAGAAACTATCTAACCACTGCCCCTTGACATTCAATAGTGTTACCATCACTGAAACCCCCAACATCAACATCCCGATGGGTTACCATTGACTAGAAACTCAGCGGACTTGCCACAGAAACACAGTGGCTACAAGAGCAGGCCAGAGGTTAGGAATACAGTGGCAAGGAGTATGACAGAATACTCCCCATTTGACGGATGGGTGTAGCTCCGACAACACTCAAGAAGCTTGACATGATCCAGGACAAAGCAGCACACTTGATTGGCACTACATCGACAAGTATCCAACCCCTCCACCACCAACATTCAGTAGCAACAGGATTGCACTGCAGAAATTCAAAGATCATTAGACAGCATCTTCCAACCTCATGACTTCCATTTGGAAGGGTATAAGTAGCAGATACATGGATGCATCACCACCTTAAAGTTCCCCTACCAAGCCCCTTACCTTCTTGACTTCAAAGTGTATGGCTATTCCTTCAGTGTGGCTGGGTCAAAATCCTGAAATTCTCTTCCTAAGGATATTGTGGGTCAAACTACAGCATGCGGACTGCAGTGGTTCAAGAGGCAGCTCACTGCCACCTTCTCAAGCACAATTAGGGACGAACAATAAATGCTGGCCAGCCAGTGGACACTCACATCCCGCGAGTGAATTTTTATTTTAAAAGAATCACTGTGATGTTTTGAGGGTGAGAAAGGTGCGAAATGATCACAAAAACTTTCTTTAGAACTGATTTAATTATGCAACTTTTTCCTCCAATGATTAAAACTGAGATTGATACTCACTGAAAACCATTTACTGCAGAAACCACTTCAACTAGGAATCAAAGATAAACATAAAATAAAAAGAGGATCAGGAGTTTGCCATTTAGCCCTTCGAGCCTGCTAATGAGCATGGCTAATCATCCAACCGAGTATCCTGCTCCTCCTTCCCAGAAGAAAGAGGAAAAGATCCCGGACTCCAGTTCTTCAAGGTTAACTACAGAACCGACAGCTTAATCAGCTCCACTCTGAGTTCAGAAGACCCCAGCAATTACAAATACTGTCCACAGGGGTGTCCTTCTGGTACCGAGTGACCAACAGTGGTGCTTTAACCAACACCACCAAAGGAACTGATTTTATCAGTCACCCACCTGATCGCGGTTTGTGGAATTTTGCTGTGAACAAACTGACATTGTATAACAGTAACAGTTTGTATTTAAACAATGCGCTGAATGCAATAAAAAGTTGCAAGGTGTTCCAGAGAAGTCTCATGAAGAAGCAATGTGACAGAGTCTAATAGGGCATCATTAGGAAAGATGCGTCACTGGAAAGCCCAGTTTTTAACAAGCATCTTTACTTAGAGATGGAGAGAATCAGGAATGAAACATCAGAGCTTTATGCTCAGGCACAGCCACCAATGATGCAGTGATTAAAAACAAGGAAACTTAAGATGGCAGAATGAGAAAAGGACAGATATCTCAGACGGTTGTATGACTGGAGATTACAAAGACAGGCAAGGACAAGGCCACAGTGGAATTTGAAAACAAGGATGCAAGTTTTAAAATTTGAGACTGCCTATGTCCTGGATACAGCTAGTGTGGCCAAATGAGTGGACAGGATTTGGCACAAGAAAGCACACAGACAACAAAGTTTTGGATGATTTTATGTTTGTGAATGTGAGGCTGGTCAGGGGGGTGTTGGAATTGTTAAGTCTAAAGTTAACACAGGCATGCCTGAGGGTTTCCACAGTAGATGGGATGGAAATGGGTGATGTTCTGGAGATTGAAATAGCTGGTATTAGTGATTGAGAGACAGTGTGGTCAGAAACACATCTTGGCGTCACATATGCCACAGAGATTGTGCGCTGTGTGGTTCGGCCTCAGTCAGATCCCCAGGGGAGTGGCAGACCCGGAATTGAATATGCAGCGGCAAACAAAAACAATGGCTTTGATCACCCCAATTTGTAAATGGAGCAAATTTCTGCTCAAGCAGCAGTGGATGTGGGATTATCAGGTTGATAATTTACTAACAGTTGGGGAATGGAGAGGGATGGTGGTGAAGTAAAACTGGGCATTGTCAGTGTGCATGGGAAAAGTAACACAGTGCTTTTGGACAATGTCACCTAGTGCAGCATGTAAATGAGAAACAGAAGGAGTGGAGGATAGATCCTCCACTATTTAAGCTCACCAACCCAAAAAAAATCATCCAGTTATCCCTACTCTCTGCTTCTTGTTATTAAACCAATCAAGTTTCCATTTTAATGTTAATCTCGACAACACACAATCTCATTGTTTTGTCATCATCTTGAAAGTAAAGGTAAAGTCGCTATAGTCTCCAGGTTCACTTTGCAGAGGACAAACTATCATTTCACTTGCACTTTTCCTTTAAAATTTGCATAAATTCTTACTGCTTTTATATTTCTAGCTAGGATTTTCTTGTACTTTTATTTCTCCAATATTTTCTATTTTCATGGAATCATAACAGCACAGAAACAGATGCAGGTCCTCCTTGACCAGGCTGACCAAGTTTCCCAAACTAAACTAGTCCCACTTGCCTGCGTTTTGCCCATATCTTTTTAAACCTTTCCTAATTATGTAACTATTCAAATGTCTTTTAAGTGTTGTACCTGCATCCAGCACCTCCTCTGGCAGAACTGTCCTGTGTGGATAAAATTACTCCTCAGGTTCGTTTTAAATCTTTCTCCTCTCACCTTAAAAATATACCACCCAAGTTTTCAATTCCCCCCACTCTTGGGAAAAGACCTTTGCTATTCCCTTATCTATGCCCCTCATGAGTTTATAAAACTCCATATGGTCATCTTTCAACCTCATACGCTCCAGTAAATAGAGTTTTAGCATTTCCAGCCTCTCCTTGTAACTCAAACCCTCCATTCCCAGCAACAACCTGGTAAATATTTTCTGAACCCATTCCAATTTAATATTATCCTTTTTGTTGTGCTTTGCTGGCTTTACCTTCTAACTAACTTTGCAGAATTGTATAGTTTTCTTTCCTTTTGATATTACCATGAACTTTCTTAGTTCACCACAGAGGGTAAATTCTTCTCTGAGAGGATTTCTTTCTCACTAGAATGTAACACGGTTGAATGTTATGAAACATTTCCTGAATGTCTGCCATTGCAACTCAACCAACCTACCATAATTTCATTTCCATTTCTGTTCGCACCCCCTTGTTATAACAAGTTTTGAATCGCTAGTGCGAGACCAAGCTTCTCTCCTTCACAGGGAATGGGAAATTCAATTTTGTTTCGATCATTTCTACCAATAGGATGCACGATTACGAAGTCATTGATTCAGTTCAGTCTTGGATGTGATTAAACAGCAAGATCCAATCTGTGTCGTTATTTGTGAACTTGCTGGTGTCTCAGCAGGTGGGATGACCGCGTGTATCCCTTCCCACATTCAAAGCAGATGAACGGCCTCTCCCCAGTGTGAACACGGTGGTGCGACTGAAGGGTGGCTAACTCAGTAAATCCTTTTCCACACTCTGGGCAGGTGAACGGTTTCTCCCCAGTGTGAACTCGCTGGTGTGTCAACAGGTTGGATGAGCGTCTGAATCCCTTCCCACACTCGGAGCACGTGAACAGTTTCTCTCCCACGTGAACGTGCTGGTGCCTCAGCAGGACTGCTAACTCGGGGAATCCCTTTCCGCACTCCGGGCAGGTGAACTGCTTCTCCCGAGCGTGAAATTGCTGATGTTTCAGCAGGTTCGACGGCCGAGTGAACGCCCTCCCGCACTCGGAGCAGGCGAACGTTTCCCCGGTGTGAACGCGCTGGTGGACGGCGAGGTGAGAGGATCGCCTGAACCCAGACCCGCACCGGGAGCATCTGAACGGTCTCTCGTCCGAGTGAACACGTTGGTGGCGTATCAGGTCTCCAGAGCATTTGAAGCACTTGCTGCAGTCCAGGCAATTGAAAGGTCTCTCATCAGTGTGAACTCGCTGGTGTTTCAGCAGGTCAGAGGACCGAGCAAATCCCTTATCGCATACGGAGCACATGAATGGCCTCTCCCCTGTGTGAGTCCGTCGATGAGTTTCCAGCTGGGACGGATATCGGAATCCCTCTTCACAGTCCCCACACTTCCATCGTTTCTCCCCGTTGCGACTGCATTTGTGTTTTGAGAGGCCAGACGATCGGCTGAAGCCTCGTCTGCACACAGAACACGTGTACGGTTTCTCCCCACTGTGAGCACTGGTTTTAACGTCCATGTTCATCATCTGAAGATATTCGGGGTTCCAGCAAATCAGATCCTGCTGCGATGTTTGGCTTGAGTTTCCTGACTGCAAGTAATCTGTCTTTTTCCAATAGAAAACAGAAAAAAAAAGGGAGTGAAAAAGAACGCCCCCAAAAAAAACCCAGGAAGTCAGTTCAGAGAGACAGAGAGCAGGGCAGGGGGGAGGGAGACAGAACCACAGAAGATGAAAGAGGGGAATTTTTATCTGTATGCAACCACTTAGACAGACTCTCCCAAGCCTTCTACCTGCACCGTATAGAAGGATCTGGGTAGCTGGTGTACGTGAACAGCAGCACTTCCAAATTGCCCTCCAAGTCACAATGTCCTGACCTGGATGTCAGGGACCCAGCAGAGAGCTCACACTTGTTGCTAATGTGCACGGATCTCTGACGGTGAGAGAGCAGTTTGCAACGTAAAGAGACTTCGGCCTCGTCAAGACAAGCACTGAGTGGAAAAAGCAGAAAGTGTATGCTGCCCTTCAACAAAAAAAACTCTCCCGCTGACATAGTCATCAGAAGTAAGCCAGACTGAGACACAGCCGAGCACACAGAATCCACACAGTGGGGAAACACGCCCTTCGGCCCAACAAGTCCACACTGACCTTCACAGCATCCCACCCAGACCCATTCCCCAAACCCACCTAATCTACACATCCATGAACGCTATGGGCAATTTAGCGTGGCCAATCCACCTAGCCTGCACATCTTTGGACTGTAGGAAGAAACCGGAATACCCGGAGGAAACCCACGCAGACACAGGGAGAACATGCAAACACAGACAGTTGCCCAAGGGGGAATCGAAGCCAGGCTCCTGGCGCTGTGAGGAAGCAGTGCTAACCACTGAGCCGCCACGCCGCCCCAAACAGTTGGGAGGAGGAATCTGGTGGCAACAGGGGAAATCACTGCAGAGGAGAAAGAGATGCTTTTTTTTCTGGTTCACAGCTTCTAAGGTTTTGTAACAGAAGCCCATGATTGGGGCCCCGCACAAAAGAGTGACGTTACATTCCACCCACAAGTTCACTAGTTGGTGACAGCTACTAATCTGACTCAACATTATAGATTATTTCAGATTGACAGTAAATAGGGGAAATATGCACAGGCCAAGTACGAGTTTTTTTAAAAAATAAATCTAACTAAGTACATAAGATAGAGAAGCAGAGCCAGGTGGCGTGTTGTACCTGTATGATGTGAGAGCTGGCGAACCTCATGGAGGTTCATACCGACCACATCTGTAGCAAGTGTTGGTTGCTTGAGGAACTCTGGCTCACAGGTCGCTGAGCTGAGCTTTGAGCTTCAAGTGCTGCGACATGTCAGGGAGGGGGAATAGTTACTTGGATGCTGTGTTTCAGGAGGCAGTCAGATTAACTAGCTTGAATTCGGGTCAGTGGTTGGGAACAGGAGAACGTGACTATGAGCGAGGCAGGTAGAGGGATCCAGGGGCTAGTGCCGAAGGAGCCTCAGCCCTTGAGCTTGTCTAACGGGTTTCAGATTCTTGCTCCTGTGTGGATGAGAGTGGGGGCAGTAGGAAGGATGAGCAAACTGATCACAGCACTGCGGTAAAGGGAGTCATTCAAGGGGTTGATGGTGGATAGACAACGGCAGACATTTAAAGGATACGTGGATGAACTTCAATAATTGTACATCCCTGTCTGGCGTTACAGTAAAACAGGGAAGGTGGCTCAACCATGGCTAACAAGGGAAATCAGTGCTCATATTAAAGCCAAAGAGGAGGTATATGAATTGGCCAGGAAAAGCAGCAAATCTGAGGACTGGGAGAAATTTAAAATTCAGCAATGGAGGATAAAGGGTTTAATTCGGAAGGAGAAAATAGAATATGAGAGTACGTTTGCAGAAAACATAAAAACTGACTGCAAAAGCTTCTATAGACATGTGGAGAGAAAAAGACTGGTGAAGACAAATGTAGATCCGTTACAGTTAGAATCAGGTGAATTCATAATGGACAAGAAAGAGATGGCAGACCAGTCGAACAAATACTTTGGATCTGTCTTCATTAAGGAGGACACAAATAACCTTCCAGAAATGGCAGGGGACAGAGGGTCAAGTATGGAGGAGGAACTGAAGGAAATCCTTATTAGTCAGGAAATGGTATTGGGGAAATTGATAGGATTAAAATCCGATAAGTCCTCAGGGCCTGATGCTCTGCATCCTAGAGTACTTAAGGAAGTGTCCTTACTAATAGCGTATGCATTGGTGATCATTTTCCAGCATTCTATAGACTCTGGAAGAATTCCAATATACAGTTAATGTAACGCCACTTTTTAAAAAAGGAGGGAGACAGAAAATAGGGAATTATAGGCCAGTTAGCCTGACATCAATGTTGGGGAAAATGCTGGAGTTAATTATTAAGGATGTACTAACTCAGCATTTGGAAAGAGGTGACAGAATCAGTCCAAGTCAGCATGGGCACACTAAAGGGAAATCATGCTTGAAAAATCTTCTGGAATTATTTTTTTAAGGATATGACCAGTAGAGTGGACTCAGTTGAAACAGGAGACGTCGTGTATCTGGACTTTCAAAAGGCTTTTGACAAGGTTCCACACAAGAGATCAGTAAAGGAAATTAAAGCTCATGGTATTGGAGGTAATGTATTGATGCAGATAGAGAACTGGTTGGCAGACAGGAAGCAGGGAGGTGGAATAAATGGATCCTTTTCAGAGTGGCAGGCAGTGACAAGTGGGGTACGACAGGGTTCAATGCTGGGACCCCAGCTGTTCACAATATACATTAACAATTTGGATGAAGGAATTGAAAGCAATATCTCCAAATTTGCAGATGACACTAAGCTGGGTGGCAGTGTGTGCTGTGAGGAGGATGCTAAGAGGCCGCAGGGTGACTTGGACAGGCTGGTTGAGTGGGCAAATACAATATAATGTGGATAAATGTGAAGTTATCCACTTTGGTCACAAAAGCGGGAAGGAAGATTATTATCTGTATAGTGGCAGTTTAGGAGAAGGTAAGGGGACAATGGGACTTGGGTGTCATAGTGAAACAGTCGCTGAAGGTTGGCATATGGGTGCAGCAGGCAATGAGGAAAGCTAAAAGCATGCTGGCCTTCATAGCGAGAGGATTTGAGTATCGGAGTAGGGATGCCTTGAAGAAAGAAGTTCTGCTGAGCGAATATGAGCAGCTAGGAGCTAAATTAGAAAGTAGACCAAAAAGGTAATAATCTCTGGATTACTACCTGAGCCACGAGCTAACTGGCACAGGGTCAACAAGATTAAAGAGGTAAACACATGGCTCAAAGATCAGTGTGGGAGAAATGGGTTCAAACTCATGGGACGTTGGTGTCAGTACTGGGAAAGGAGGGAGCTGTTCTAATGAGACAGACTCCATTTGAATCATTCAGAGATAGTAGGAACTGGCGATGCTGGAGTCTGAGATAATAAGGTGTGGAGCTGGATGAACACAGCAGGCCAGGCAGCATCAGAGGAGCAGGAAAGCTGACGTTTCAGGTTGGGACCCTTCTTCAGAAATGGGGCAGGGGAAGGGGGCTCTGAAATAAATGGTGGGGGGGGCGGTGACAGCAGATAGGTAGTGGTGGGGATTGGTCAGTGGCCCGAAACGTCAGCTTTCCTGCTTCTCTGATGCTGCCTGGCCTGCTGTATTCTTCCAGCTCCACACTGTGTTATCTCCATTTGAATCATGCTGGGTTCTTGTGAATTGCATAACTAGGTCCGTAGCTAAGTCTTAAACCAAATAGTTGGGGGGGTGGGGGGGTGTGTTACAAGGAAAATAACAGAAAGAGTTAAAAATGGGGAGTGGTCAGCCAAGGTTAACGTTTCCAAAACAAGTAACAGGACAGAGTATGGAAAGGGTCAGGAATCTAACTTCAGGCACAGCAGATAAGGGGGCAACTATGAGAAGGAGGGCAGTCAACACAGGACTGAGGGGGTTGTACTTAAATGCATGCAGTATACAAAACAAGGTAAATGAGCTTGTAGAGTAGATTGAAGTTGGCATCTACAATGGTGTGGATATTACAGAGACGTGGCTGCAAGGGGATCAGGGCTTGGAACTAAATATTCAACGATACACATCCTATCAAAAGGGCAAGCAGATGGCAGGGGAGGTCGAGTTGCCTTGCTAGTACAAAATGAGTTGAAATTAAATTAAATCGATAGCAAGAAATGATACAGAGTCAGAAGGCCTAGAATCTGTGTGGGTGGGAGAAAGGAGAAATTGCCTCGATGGTAGTTGTGGAGAAGCCTCCTAGCAGTAGTCAGGATGTGGGGAACAACATAAATCAGTCGATAGAAAGGCATTTAAAGGCACAATTACGATAAACGTGGGGGACTTTGATATGCAGGTGGACTAGGAAAATCAGGTTGGTAGTGGACTTCAAGAAAAGGAATTTGTGGAACGTCTAAGAGATGGCCTTTTGGGAGCAGCTTGTGGTACAGCCCACTAGGGAACAAGCAATTCTGGATTTAGTGACATGCAATGAGGCAGACTTGATTTGGGAGCTAAAGGTAAGGGAACCCCGAGGGACCAGTGACCATAAGAGAATTCAACTTGCTGCTCGAGAGAGAGAGAAGGTTGAATCAGATGTAACGGTATTACAATCGAGTAAAAGGTAACTACAAAGACATGAAGGAGGAGCTGGCCAGGGTTGACTGGAAGGGGGACTGAACAGGAATGGCAGGAGTTTCTGAGCAGCATGGAGGAGGCCACAGCAGAAACTCATTCCAAGGAAGAAATACGCTAAGGAAAGGATGAGACAATGGCGGCTGACAAGGGAAGTTGGGGAAAGCATAAAAGCAAAAGCATACAATGTGCTAAAGATTAGTGGGAAGCCAGAGGATTGGGAAGCCTTTAAAAACCAGTAGAGGATAACTGAAAAAAAAAAGCAATAAGAGGAGGGAGGAGATAAACAAGAGAGTAAGCCAGCTTGTAATAAAAGAGAAGATTGCGAGAGTTTTTTTTAGGTAGCTAAAAGGTAAAAGAGAGGCAACAGTGAACTTTGGATGGCTGGAAAAGTAGGAATAGGGAACAAAGAAGTGGTGGAGGAACTGAATCAGTACTTTGCATCAGTTTTCACAGTGAAAGACACCAGCAGCATACCAGAACCTCAAGACAGACAGGGGAAGAGTTGAGCACGGTGGCCATCACTAAGGAAAAGGTGTTGGGAAGCTGAAAGGTCTGAAGACAGATAAATCATCTGGACTAGATGGGCTATTTCCCACAGTTCTGAAGGAAAGTAAGGAGGCATGGGATTCTCATTCATAAAGTAAGGAGGCATGGGATTCAGGGAAATTTTGATGCCTGGATAGAGAATTGGCTGCACAATAGAAGACAGAGGGTGGTAGTGGATGGAACGTATTCAGCCTGGAGCTCGGTGACCAGTGGTGTTCCACAGGAACCTGTTCTGGGACCCCTGCTCTTTGTGATCTTTCTAAATGACTTGGAGGAGGAAGTGGAAGGGTGGATTAGTAAGTTTGCCAATGACACGAAGGTTGGTGGAGTTGTGGATAGTGTGGAAGGCTGTTGTAGGTTGCAACGGAACATTGACAGGATGCAGAGCTGAGCAAAGAAGTGGCAGATGGAATTCAACAGGAAAAATGTGAAGTGATTCATTTTGGAAGGTTGAATTTGAATGCAGAATACAGGGTTAATGGCAGGATTCTTGGCAGTGTGGAGGAACAGAGGGATCTTGGGGCCCACATCCACAGATCCCTCAAAGTTGCTACCCAAGTTGATAGGGTTGTTAAGAAGGCACATGGTGTGTTGTCTTTCATCGGCAGGGGAATTGAGTTTAAGAGCCACAAGGTTATGCTGTAGCTCTATAAAACCCTGGCTAGACCACACTTGTTCAGTTCTGGTCGCCTCATTATAGGAAGGATGTGGAAGCTTTAGAGAGGGTGCAGAGGAGATTTACCCAGGATGCTATTTGGACTGGAGTGCAGGGTCTTATGAGGAAAAGTTGAGAGAGCTAGGGCTTTTATCATTGGAGCGAAGAAGGATGAGAGGTGACTTGATAGAGGTGTACAAGGTGATGAGAGGGATAGATAGAGTGGATAGCCAGAGACATTTTCCCAGGGTGGAAATGACTATTACGAGGGGTCATAATTTTAAGGTGATTGGAGGAAGGTATAGGGGAGATGTCAGAGGTAGGTTCTTTACACAGAGAGTGGGGGGTGCGTGAAATATGCTGCCGGCAGTGGTATTAGAGTCAGATACATTAGGGACATTTAAGCGACTCTTGAATAGACACATGGAGGATAGTAAAATGTCGGGTATGCAGGGTAGTTTGACCTTAGTAGGATAATACGTCGGCACAACATTGTGGGCCAAAGGGCCTGTACTGTGCTGTATTATTGTGTTTTCTATGAGATAGCGGAGGAGATTGCAGAGGCATTGGTGGTGATCTTTCAGGATCACTGGAGTCAAGGAGGGTCTGTCTGAGAGGACTTGGAAAACAGCTAATGTAACAATGCGTTTAAGAAGGGAGGGAGGCAGAAGACAGGAAACTATAGGCCGCTTGTCCTGCCCTTGGTTGTTGGTAAGAGTTTAGAGTCCATTACTAAGAATGAGATTGCCGAGTACTTGGAAGTGGCATGGTAAAGTAGGGCTGAATCAGCCCGGCTTCGTCAAGGGGAGGGCAAATCTTAGAACTGATTTTGAGGGAATGAGCAAGTTAGACAAAGGAGAGCCAGTGGACCTGATCGATTGGATTTCCAGAAGACCTTTGACAAGGTGCCGCACAGGAGGATGCTAAATAATCTAAGAGCCCACAGCGTTAGGGGTAAGGTACTGGCGTGGAAAGAGGATTGGCTGACTGGTAGAAGGCAGAGAGTAGGGATAATGGAGTCTTTTTCAGGATGGCAGCTGGCGACTTGAGAAGTTCCACAAGAGTCAGTGTTGGGACCACAACTATTCACGTTATACATTAATGATCTGGACAAAGAAACTGAGATTGCAAAGTTTTCAAATGACATAAAGATAGGTGGAGGGACAAATACTGTTGAGAAAGTGGGGAGGTGGCAGAAGGACAGAAATGCTAGGCGAGTGGGCAAAGAAGTGGCAGATGGATACAATGTAGGAAAGTACGAGATTATGCACTTTGGAAGAACAGAGCAGCAGACTACTTTCTAAATGGGGAAAGGCTTTGGAGTCTGAAACACAAAGTGACTCCGGATTCTCTCTTAGTAGGATAATACGTCGGCACAACATCGTGGGCCAAAGGGCCTGTACTGTACTGTATTATTGTGTTTTCTATGAAATAGCGGAGGAGATTGCAGAGGCATTGGTGGTGATAATATGCATACTCAGTTGGCAGTTAGGATGGCAAATGCAATGTTAGCATTCATTTCAAGAGGGCTAGAATACAGAGCAGAAATGTACGGCTGAAGCCAATACTCTGGTCAGACTGCATTTGAAACACTATGAACAGTTTTGGGCCCATATCCGAGGAAGTACATGCTGCCATCAGAATAGGTTCAGAGATTTACGAGAATGATTTGGGAAACGAAGAGCTTGTCACAGGAGGAGTTGAGGACTCTGGATGTGTGTCTGAAGAAGTTCAGGAGTATGATGGAGGATCTGATTAAAACTTACAGATACTGAGAGGCAATGGATAGAGTGGATACGGAGAAGATGTTTCCACCAGTAGGAGAGACTAGGAACCGAGCAATTAGCCTCGGAGTGAACTGAGATGAGAAAGAATTTCTTTAGCCAGAGGGTGGAATTTTACCACATAGATCCATGGAGGCCAAGTCATTGAGTGTCTTTAAGAGAGATAGATAGGTTCTTGATGAATAAGGGGATCAAAGGTTACAGGGAAAAGGCAGGAGAATAGGGTTGAGAAACATATAAGCCATGATTGAATGACAGAGCAGATCTGACAGTTCAAATTCTGCTCCTCTATCTCATAGTCTTGCATGCCAACCAGCATGTTTTAGTTATTTAATGACTGTAAGTCACTTTTGCAGCATATCTCATAATTTAATCCCCCCGAGTTGAGGTATAACTCTGGTAAACCTGCTCTGTGCTTCCCCTCAGGCCAATATAGACTTTCCTTCCTCACGAGAATTGAACATTTACTGCCGGTGTGGTGTCTAACTAGGATATAGAAGAGCCTCGTGCTTTTTCCAATCACACTCATACCTGAAATTTTTCCCACAGAAGAGCCTTTTCTCTTCCTGATAAATCGAGCCAAATGTCACAGATCTTGATATAGTTTTTTTGTTTCGACTTCCCTGCCTGCAAATCCTTCTCATTCAATATCCTGGAAAAGGTGATTACAAAAAAGAAAATCCATCATTGTCAGTCCAGGTTAGAAATTGTAAAGAGACAAATATTTCTCTAGGTTTGAGCTTGCTGTGTATAAGTATTCCCCTTCCGTCCGCCAATCAAAATACGTCCTGCTGCAACTTGCCCCCTATAAAGATGGCACCGCCCTCCATCCTCACCGGAAGGTTGCCCCCAACAAACATGGCGGCGACCAACACAGGAGCTAGTCGCCTCTTCTGAGGCCCTGAAGCAATGTCCTCGTTCGCTGCAAACGGGGGACCGAGAACATCCCGTTCGGGTCGGGGGCCTACACCGAGTCCTTACGAAGCCTCCCAGTCTGCAATTGTCTCAATTTCTCTATAGCCCCACTCCGTCACATCTCCCTCCTCCCGCACTCAGCCCAGACCTGAGTCACAGCCACAAGGCGCGTGCGCGGACGTTGGGCACGGGGATCACGTGACACAAACCTGGTCCCGCCTCTCATTCACTGCGATTGGCGGGAGGGCAGTCCCCGCCCCCGCCCCTTCTAATGGTTATCGGGTGCTGTCAATCACCGACCGGCCTGTGCGAGGTACTGGAATAGCAAGGATGATGTCTGAGATAACAAGGTGTAGAGCTGGATGAACACAGCAGGCCAAGCAGCATCAGAGGAGCAGGAAGGCTGACGTTTCAGGCCTAGACCCTTCTTCAGAAATGGGGGAGGGGGTTCTGAAATAAATAGGGAGAGAAGGGGAGGCGGATAGAAGATGGATAAAGGAGAAGATAGGTGGAGAGGAGACAGACAGGTCAAAGAGGCGGGGATGGAGCCAGTAAAGGTGAGTGTAGGTGGGGAGTTAGGGAGGAGATAGGTCAATCCAGGGAGGACGGACAGGTCAAAGGGATGGGATGAGGTTAGTAGGTAGGAGATGGGGTGGGGCTTGAGGTGGGAGGAGGGGATAGGTGGGAGGAAGGACAGGTTAGGGAGGCAGAGACAAGCTGGGCTGGTTTTGGGATGTGGTAGGGGGAGGGGAGATTTTGAAGCTTGTGAAGTCCACATTGATACCATTGGCCTGCAGGGTTCCCAAACGAAATACGAGATGCTGTTCCTGCAACCTTCAGGTGGCATCGTTGTGGCACCGCAGGAGGCCCAGGATGGACATGTCATCTGCGGAATGGGAGGGGGAGTTAAAATGGTTCGCGACTGGGAGGTGCAGTTGTTTGTTGCGAACCGAGCGTAGGTGTTCCACAAAGCGGTCCCCAAGCCTCCGTTTGGTTTCCCCGATGTAGATGAGGCCACAATGGAAACAGCGGATACAGTATACCACATTAGCAGATGTGCAGGTGAACATCTGCTGGATGTGGAAGGTCTTCTTGGGGCCTGGGATGGGGGTGAGGGGGGAGGTGTGGGGACAGGTGTAGCACTTCCTGCGGTTGCAGGGAAAAGTGCCAGGTGTGGTGGGGCTGGAGGGGAGTGTGGGACAAGGGAGTCAAGGAGAGAGTGGTCCCTCCGGAAAGCAGATAAGGGCAGGGGGGCGAAAAATGTCTTTGGTAGTGGGGTCAGATTGCAGATGGCGGAAGTGTAGGAGGATGATGTGTTGGATCCGGAGGTTGGTGGGGTGGTTCGTGAGGACGAGGGGGATTCTGTTTTGGTTGTTATTGCGGGGAGGGGATGTGAGGGATGAGTTGCGGGAAATGCGAGAGACGGTCGAGGGGGTTTTCGACCACTGTGGAGGAGAAGATGCGGTCCTTGAAAAATGAGGACATCTGGGATGTCCGGGAGTGGAATGCCACATCTCAGGAGCAGTTGCGGCAGAGGCGAAGGAATTGGGAATAGGGGATGGCCTTTTAGCGGGAAGGTGGGTGAGCGGAGGTGTACTATCGGTAGCTGTGGGAGTCGGTGGGCTTGAAATGGATATCGGTTTCCAGGTGGTTGCCAGAGATGGAAAGAGAGAGGTCCAGGAAGGAGAGAGGGAGGTATCAGAGATGGTCTAGGTGAACTTAAGGTTGGGGTGGAAGGTGTTAGTGAAGTGGATGAACTGTTTGAGCTCCTTGTGGGAGCACGAGGCGGCACCGATACAGTCATTGATGTAACGGAGGAAGAGGTGGGAGATAGGGCCAGTGTGGCTTCGGAAGAGGGATTGTTCCATGTATCCTACAAAGAGGCAGGCATAGCTTGGGCCCATGCGGGGACCCATGGCCACCCCCTTTGTCTGTAGGAAGTGGGAGGAATTGAAGGAGAAGTTGTTAAGGGTGAGGATGAGTTCAGCTAAGCGGATGAGGGTGTCAGTGGAGGGGGACTGGTCGGGCCTGCAGAACAGGAAGAAGCGGAGGGCCTTTAGGCCATCTGTATGGGGAATGCAGGTGTATAGGGACTGGATGTCCATGGTAAAGATGAGGTGTTGGGAACCGGGGAATCGGAAGTTTTGGAGGAGGTGGAGGGCCTGGGTGGTGTCACGGACGTAGGTAGGGAGTTCCTGGACCAAGGGGGAGAAAATGGAGTCGAGATAAATGGAGATGAGTTCGGTGGGGCAGGAGCAGGCGGAGACAATGGGTCGACCAGGGCAGTCAGGTTTGTGGATTTTGGGAAGGAGATAGAAACGGGCGTTGCGTGGTTGGGGAACGATGAAGTTGGAGGCCGTGGGTGGGAGGTCACCTGAGGTGATGAGGTTGTGGATGGTTTGGGAAATGATGTTTTGGTGGTCAGGGTTGGGGTCATGATCAAGGAGGCGGTAGGAGGAGGTGTCGGAGAGTTGGCGCCTGGCCTTGGCAATGTAGAGGTCAGTGCGCCATAATACAACTGCGCCTCCCTTGTCTGCGAGTTTTATGGTGAGGTTGGGATTGGAGCAGAGGGCTGCACGTTCTGTGGGGGAGAGGTTGGAGTGGGTGAGAGGGGTGGAGAGGTTGAGGCGATTGATGTCGCGACGGCAGTTGGAGATGAAGAGGTCGAGGGAGGGTAGGCGGCCTTGGGGTGGTGTCCAGGAGGAGAGGGTGTGTTGGAGGCGGGAGAAGGGGTCAGTAGAGGGAGGGTTAGGCTCACGATTAAAGAAGTAAGCGCGGAGGCGGATTTGGCAGAAAAACTGTTCAACATCCAAGCGTAAGTTATATTCATTGATGTTTGGGTGGAGGGGGGCAAAGGTGAGCCCTTTACTGAGGACTGACCATTCGTCCTCAGTGAGGGGGAGGTCTGGGGGGATGGTATAGACCTGGCAGGGCTGGGTGTTATTGTCTTCTCTGGAGCTGATGGCTGTGGAGGCGGTGGGCGGAGCGATGTCAGTGTTGGCGGTGGACTGTTGATGTCAGTTCTGATATAACAAGGTGTAGAGCTGGATGAACACAGCAGGCCAAGCAGCATCAGAGGAGCAGGAAGGCTGACGTTTCGGGTCTAGACCCTTC